TTTTAAAGCTTTGAAAACCTACTCATTTAAAACTCGAATAGACCTGTCTATTACCCAACACCGTGTGATTTTAGTCGCTTTGATTTAGAGTCATGGTGAACTACGGTTAGCCTCGATGAGGGTGCAGCTGTTTAATTAAGCTCTGGTTAAGTATAGAAAAGCATTTTACGTGGAAGACCAATCATCTACAGACTTTAATAGTCCACTGCTGGACATAGGCATCTCCTTAGAAAGGAGGTTTTTGGCCTACTATATCAAAGACACAAATGGGCTGGCTCGACCGGAGTGATAGCCACCACGGAATCACAGAAAATCTATGTTAATCAATTCTTTCGTTGTTCTTCACTGAGGTAGTCATCCCCTCCCCTAATTGTGGTTGGGAGGCCGGGGGGTGAAGGGAAAACGACGCACTTGAGTGGCTAGGTGGTCCTATAGCTTACGGTAACCTGTGTGAGCGTTTGATAAAAAATGTGGGCACGAGATTCAATTCTACTATATTAAGTATATTTTTTGGAAAAATGCGCTTTGCGAAATCGTTGAGGACAAATGAAAGGTTTTTAAGACCAGAGACACTACGAATACCTTTCATAATCTTTTAGTCACCTTTATAGTTTTTCAGAATAAAGACACGTCTGTTTTTTTTTACTAGCTGTCTGCCAAGCTTCGCTGTGGCTCATTGTGCTTGTATTGATGAGGAATGACGAACAAAACTAACGTGAAAAATTGATAAAATATCTTTGAAGCAGATTGTATATCGTGTCAAATTTCGAGCTCAGTAGGTTCGAAATCGGTTGCGGAAATTTGGTCTTTTTGAGGAAAACTTCAGAATGATACTTAAAAGCTGTGTATTGAGCGGTGGTCGAACAGATTGTGTGTTAACCGACAGTAAAAAGTTAACATCATAAGAAAGATCCTTATAACTATTAACGGTCTCTATTATGTCCTCGTGTATTGCCATAAAAATCCAGCAGGCGCTGTGCTCGAATAAAACCTTTTTAGTTTTTGAAACGTACACAAACTAACTTAACAGTTTTATGTTTATATGGATTATTCTTGACCTATTGTTAGAAATAACTTATGACCTCAAACACATTGGTACTCTACAAATAGGTTTTTTTCAAAGTTCATATATTGTGATAACTTAAAGCCAGCTAGGTATGCTTGCCTTAATTTACGTTATTCACGATAAGTGTGAATTAGAGTAATAAAAAAGCAATATACTCGTAACTATTGATTTGTCATAGTATGTGCATGCTTTTAGCTTTACTTGTAACTGACTAACTAACTAATTAACAAGTAGCCAACTACATAAAAAAAACCTGTAGATCAATTTTAACTTATCTCTTTTAGCAGTAGTGTATACCTCTTACGTTTAACTTACAATATTTGTATTTAAGTATTTATGTTGGTTAGGGTCAAATATTGCATTTGCTACTCTTTCCTAAAAGGCCACCAACGCGTTTGTAACTCCTGAGTTGCAGTCGTTTATGGGCGGCGGTAGTCACTTTCTATCAGGTGACCCATCTGCTTGTCTGCCCCATCTTGCACAAAAAAGGAGTTATCCTCAACCGATTTTGTTGAACCGCCAACTAAACCTTTTGGATGATTATAAATAAATCAAAAATGGTAAAAAGACGTCACATTAGAGAACATTATATTATTAATTTTATATAACCTTAGGTAATATAATAAATATGTATATGGAATATAGAAATGCTAGTTTTTTAAATTTCTTTTAATATAAAACTCAGTACATTTTAATTTTAATCTTTTATTCATTCATTTGATTCAGTACCTGTATTTTTTTCATTTTATTTAACTACTTAAAAATAAAAATAGTATCAAAACATTTGCTTATTGGTATAAGGTCTGTCATTGACTGTCATGCACAGTTTAACTGCCGAATTTTCGACCTTGAGACCTTGATACCTGAACTCTTTGATACAATGAATTCATCACTTCAACAAAACCTAACACATAATCCGCCATTTGAATATCAAATAATATAATGTAGGTTGAGCTGAAGTAATTCTCCTAGTGGTAGCTCTATTACTATTCCTTATTTTATATTCTAGTCCAATCAATACCTATCGTTTTATAGATCAGTTGAAGGTTGGTTATTGAAAACAGAAACACTCTGTATACGTCGTACAAATTATAGGCTGTAGGTATTTGAATTGTTTTTACTTTTAAAAGCGTTTCTATCTATACATATAAAAAAAAGCCCCGTGGTGTCGTGGGACACCCGATAGGAACGAAGTTGTGACGATCGAGTAAAACTGATTTGACACGATTTTAATTACAACGCCATCTATGAAAGCGGCTATTACCTACATATTTTTCAGTTGGTTTCTAATTAAAACAATTTATACATTGGTAAAATCTCCTTGAGAAATGATTTCCTATCTACTCGATAGATGGCGCTGAATGACTGACAAGTGACAATTCAAAATAAATACTGAGATGAAAAGTAATGATTTCCTATCTACTCGATAGATGGCGCTGAATGACTGACATAAAAAGTGTCGTTACAACTTTTCGTGAGATTTTTTCCGTCTAGCCCCCTTTCACAACGCGCGATAAGGAACTTCGTTCCAATAACTGGCCCCGACTGATTCATCAACGCAAAGCCTAAACCGCTGGAACTACAGACTTGAAATTTTGGGAGCTGACGCTTTTTATGTAGTAAGCACCGACTAAGAACGGATGTTTGGACATTTTACCCTTTAGGGGGTAAAATAATGGATAAACGGTTGTATGAAAGTTCGTCATTTTCAAAGTTATTAACACAATAGATATATATGAAATAATCGCGTAAGTGAAGCCGCAGGCAATAGCTAGTAATATATAAATTTAGATGAAGATAAGAATCAAAAGAAAGAAAATAATAAGTCATATTTACGTGATAAAATAGATTATTGAGATAACAGACTCCATAAATATTTAAGAAAACAGTTTTGTCTCGATGAAAAAACATTGAGAAAACAAGAACAGAAAATAATTAAAAAGAAGATGATAAAGAAAATTTAATCAAATTTCTCACTTTATTTAGTGAAATCTAATACGTTATATTAGCCATAGGCGTCTACTGCGTACGTCGGGGCACCAGGGATATCCTTTCTAGGGTACACCTGGTTCCCCGACTACTGGTACCTGCGCGGCGCGCCGTTTCAGGTACCAGTAGTCGGGGAACCAGGTGTACGCGTGCGGTTTTAGTCGGTTTGAGTCCGACATTGTCACCGATAAGTGGTATCCGAGGCAGAGGATCTACTGCGTTATTTTATTTTATAGCATAGGAGATAATTATCTATCTATCTACATATTTATAATTAAAAAACATAAGTTAAAAATGAAAAGCACCCGAGATTAAAAAATCTCGGAAACCTAAGAAAACTAATATTCTTCTAGCAGCTAATAAGATCGTCTTAAATTGCAGATCTCAGTTGAGCTCCCTTTCAAATGAAGTAACTAAATTCCCCTCAAGAAAAGAGCGTACTCCTTCCTAAAAGGCCGGCAACGCGTTTGTGACTCCTGAGTTGCAGACGTTCATGGGCGGCGACAGTCACTTTCCATCAGGTGACCTGTCTGCTCGTCTGCACCCTCTAACATAAAAAAAAAGAATCGGTTACAATTTATGAGTAAAAATGGTTGATATGCTATTGCTATGTAATAGGTACCTTCATACAGATGTTATAGCTACGGGCTACTTGCCAATTTATTAGTAAAATCATAGTTTTAATGCAAGTGTTGTACCACTTACTTGTGATGTAAGTATGTTACATAATGTTATGTTATATTACACTTTTTAATTATATTTACGTTACTAATTTTTGCAATAGTATAACCCGGGTATCTTCGGTACTAGTTATCGAATTTTGTGACTGTATTTTTTTTTTGAGAAAACGCATAAGTAATATTTTTGATTATTTAAAAGGTATTGTTTTTAAAAAAGCATATAATTTATAAACATAGTAATATGTGAGAAATTTTTAATTAGAAAAATTATAAATATTTTAATTGGTCTTATTATTGTCAAGAAATCTGTAAAAAGTTTAAGGGTGGAGTGTTTTTTAGCATCATTGAAAATTGCATTCCTGAAGGTAACGTATTATAGTTTAAGAACAATAACATTAGGTATCTATACCAATATTATAAAGCTGAAGAGTTTGTTTGTTTGTTTGAACGCGCTAATCTCAGGAACTACTGGTCCGATTTGAAAAATTCTTTCAGTGTTAGATAGCCCATTTATCGAGGAAGGCTATAGGCTATATATCATCACGCTAAGAGTAATAGGAGCGGAGCACCATTGAAGAATGTTTCAAAAACGGAGAAAACTTATTACTATTAAGAGACGCAGACGAAGTAGCGCGGGTCAGCTAGTATTATATAAAAGTGAACGGAGGAAGTAAAAACCAATATGTAGAAAATTAATTTGCCGTGGAAGAGCCATGCTTTAGCATAAATAGCAAACTTCGGCAAATAAAGACGGGCCTGTTGGTCTAGTGATTAGTGACCCTGACTGCTAAGCCGGAGGTCGAGGGTCAATATACAATATTTGTCAATAGTCGACCCACCCAGGACAAATATTGTGTGATAAACAGTGACGCAGTGATGAGTAACTGGGTGTAATTTATCTATAATATGCATGTATATAGAAATTTATAAGAAGAGATGTTTATGAGCAGTCTGTTTACTATAGTACAGGCTCTGCCTAGTTTGGGATCGGACGGCCGTGTGCGATGTAATATTATTCTCTTTATTTATTTTATGTACACATATTGATTACATTTTTACACATATATTGCACTTTATAAAAAAAACATTTAAAAGTATTAAAAAGTAGTAGACCACCGACATCGGCTATGCCGGCCATACATGCTACGGTCCATCGGAAAGGTCCACCTGTGCAGTTATGCCTGCGCAGGTAGACCGGAATGTGTGTGGGAATTGACCTGTGCAGTTTTTTGAGCCTGCGCAGGCGACCGGCGCAAAATAGAAAATCAATTCTTTCGAGTGACACCGTACGGTGTACCTGTGCGTGTGTGCGTGTACTCCGGTACTCCTGCGAGAAATCTCAATGTAACTGATAATCTTTCGTGCGCAGAAATACTATTTCTCATAACTGTGTCTTCTTTTTTTATCATAGGAGTAACCATTTCAAGTAATTTAAGGTATGTTTTCTCGTCCATTCGGAGATAGTTTTTAAAATCTTCTGGTTCAAATTTTAATTCATTCAATAAATTAACATGACTATATGTTTTCCTTTTCAATAACCAATGCTTACACCACTTTTTTCGCTTCCTTTTCACTGTTTTTGTATCTTTTATCTTCAAAATTAAAGCAAGGCCTAGCAATGCCAGCGCGTCATCGTCCTCATTCGATGCCATCGCAAAAAAACTGAAGACCGCTCCGGTACACCGGAACGTCCCCATACACGCTACCAATGTTCGGTTGACCTGCGCAGGCATACCTGCATAGATGACCTCTCCGGTAGACCGTGGCGTGTATGGCCGGCTTTACAGGGACCAAGACACCGGTTGTTAGGGCTGCAAAAACGATCCTTCTCACTGTATGGGCCGTGTCAAGGAGAACTGCCTTTTGTATCAGACCCTTGATCCAGCCGTCTAACGTGGGCCTGTTAAGGTGTTGGTCGAGGCTCTTGGCTATCAATCCGTGAGCAGATACGGCTCGATCACCGAATCCACATATCCAACCTAGTGTGATAAATCCAAATATTTTATTGGTTTTTCTTTTTCAACTTTCACGAGATTCTCGTTATGAGGAACGGCGGTATCAGCAATCATTGCGCGGCGCTCTAATCAATCTATCACCTCAATATCAGCCTTATTGCCAACAATAGTCCTGTCTGTGTTAACATATCGATCCTAATACATCGTGGCCCGAGCATTCTGGAGAACTGGGTCTGGCACACATACCTGTAGTATGACACCTATAAATCCATAAATTGGTATTTAAGGACAAGCTGTTAGTGTACAATCCTGGCTACTTGATTGTGCCTATGCAAATATTCACCGTTAGCAAGATGAGAACAATCAGAAATAATTTGCCTGATTGATTCCATAGGACGGTGGCATGCCCGACAATTATTATTAAAAGGGCCGTCTTGACCGGAGTAATACCACGGCCTCATAGGAAGCTGGTATTAAGCAATTCCGTTGTTGCGTTTCAAAGAGTATGTGGGGCTACCGGAGTCCCAATCCTAATTCTGGGCACTCAAAAGGTAGCGACAGTAGTAGCCTCTAGAGTGGCAGATGTCCGTTGGCAAAAGTAGGATCTAACTGTCGGGTGCTCATTTGGCCTCTTACACAATAGAAAAAAAAGATCACCATCATCAACGGCTTCTAGCAGTCCACTGATGGACATGGGCCTTTCCTTAGAAAGTAGGTTTTGGCCTACTGTACCACCGGATTGGTATGGGGTTTGTTTCAAGTTTTCCTTCTGCCTTAGTGGACTCTTACGACACCCACGGGATGAAAAGGGGTAGTAGCACTCCGTATTCTTAATCCGTCACCACAGGGACAAAGGAAAAGATAAACATATAAAATAAAAGACTTCTGTCTCTCTGATTTTTAACAACATCTAGTTTTTTAACACAAAGCCGCATTAATACAGTCTTATCTGGGTTCTGATGTAGCTCCATCAGAACCCAGATAAGCCTGTATTAATGCTCTAATAGCTATTAACAAAGGCATTTTAGATAATGCTCTTATCAGATCAGAAATAAAGTGGTATTGTATTCAATTGTGACTAAAATAGGATAAATGTTCAATACAGATCATTTGTTCTGTGTGCTTTACCCGTACTCGAACTATCTTTATACTAAATTTCATCTAAATCGGTTCAGCGGTTTAAGCGTGTAGAGGTAACAGACCGACAGACATACTTTCGCATTTATAATATAATTGTGGATTTTTAAATTTTCCAGCCTTTTAGCTCGCATTTTCACCTTTTTACTCAGAACTCCGTCAGTTCTGAGGTAAAAAAGACTAAAAAGAGAAAGAAGAGGAAAGAGAGAAAGAAAAAGAAAGAAAGAGAAATAAAGAGAAAGAAAAAAAGAAATTACGAAGATTAAAACAGAATAGTAATATAAAAGTAACATTTAAGTACTAAGTTTATTGTAAATTGAGCTGAACGTCTACAACTTTATTAAAAAAATCAATTGTGTCTCTTTAGTGTCCATGGGTGGCGGCAGTCACTGCTCATCAGGGGACGCGTCTGCTCGTTTGCCTCCTATTCATCATCACCCTTCTGCCGCCCACTGCTGAACGAAGGCCTCCCGCAAGGAGCGCCAAGCGCCAATTATCTTCTCTTCCATACAAATACTGCAAAGGTATTAACATCAAACTTACTTTACACCTTTTAACCGTAACAGTGTTTTTTTCCTCCGAGCCTTTGCCCAAACTAGGTTGGGGTCGGCTTAAGGTTAGACCTTAAGCCGACCCCAACCTTAAAATATCGAATTTTAGCCGTATCGTAGTAGACTACGATACGGCTAAAATTCGATATTTTATCAGACCTCCACAATCCAAGTATTTAGCGATATCGAAGTTCTATAGAAATACTATTGTCGGACTTTCCGTAACAAGTAAACAGTTCGTAAGGCAACCGGCGCTGAGGGCTTAACGTAAGAGAGTATTAAATTTAATGTAATCATGTATCTAGCTGTCATCAAAAAAGACTGGCCGGGAGTTTGTTTGCCCTTTCGTCTCATAATGCTCAACTCCTAGGGTACGGTTGTAGATCGACACAGGAATATTATAATTAAAAAAAAAAAATTCCAGACATATATAGTCCGTCGGGGTAGTCTTTCTAGGGTAAACCTTTTTACCCGGCTACTAGTGCCTGAGAGCTTTTATATGGTTCGAGCCCGACATAACCATCCCACCGATTTACCACCTACTGGAAAACCGGTGGGTGTTCGAGAGGATTCCCATATAAAAAGTTGTTTAGTAATGGGTTACAAACAGAATGTACTTAAATTCTATATTAGTATTGTTAGTAACGACACTTAATAGTAGAAAGGTATCCATCTACGCTTTCCTATTGCTATTTCCACTCAGTTCTTTTGTGTAAAACAGTCTGGCCTACTAGCAATCATCTTAATAGATGATTAATTGACTTCGTTTTGCTAAATATTTGACGGAACAGATTATTGCTACACACATCTTTGACTATAGAATGTACATTAAAGACGATTTCGGTATTCTTTTTACGAAAAAAAGATATTTTGACTTTCGCTTTGATCATACTAATACTAAGCCTGTTCTTATCTGTTTTGACATGTCTTATCGTTCAGTAATCTGTGAAAGTAGTTAAATTCTATAGCAAATAAAAAAAGTAAGTAATAAAGGAAAGTCAACAAGTTTTTACGTATCTGAATACCTATTCAAATAAATATAATTTGTTTTGAAGAGCATTAATCTTTTTATTAGTAAGAATTTTTAAAGTCATATATATAAATAGTCCAGATGTTATAAATGGTTTAAGTATGTATGTACCTATTTTAATATTATTTATGAAACGTATCTTTTAATATTATATTTAGTATAAACTTAATTATTAGTATTCTGGACAATGGCCTCTCCTGAGAAAGGAGGTTTCAGGCTTTTTTTTCGGTGACGGGGTGGAAAATCCATTCGAATCTCCGGCTCCTAGGGGACGCAGGAGCCAGGAGTACGTGGTGTCTACACTAGAAACCATACCGACGGCCGACCTCAGTCACCCTACTCTACCCTACTACTACTAAAAGTGAGGTTATGATTTTTAGAGCACCCACAAGGTTTATTTAGATATACCACCCGTCTCACTCTTTAGTACACCTTTAAATAGAGTTCACTCACTTCAAGTATCTGGCTGGGTCACCGAGGATCTTAAAGATAATATGGATGTGGAAAGGGAACGTAGGGCGTTGTCTGTTCGCTATAATATGTTGACACGCTGATTTGTAGGCTGCACTGAAAAAGTGAAAGTGACACCATTTAGGGCATTCTGCCAGACTTTCTACACGTGCAGCTTGTGGGTCAATTACACGCAGTGGACCTACGTCGCACTGCGTGTACAGTGCAATAATGCGTTCAAAGATGGGGCTGCCGCGGTGCTGTAGCGCGAGTGGTACGTTTGCAGAGGCGCATGTGGACGGCTTTAACGCGATCATGCGTAAGCGCTGTGCATCAATGATGGCACGGGGACTTGAATGAACTCGGCACTCATGACCATTCAGTGTGGATAGGCCTGATGTTCCTAACACTAGGCCAAGAACATTGTTACTAACAAATTGTATGGACTAAGTCTGAAATTATTATTTGTGGGTGTAGTTACATGTTTACTCTATACAATTTAAATATAATATAATTTTAACTGTGATAAATGTAGTATCTTAGTACTAGTAATGGATGTTCCATAGTAACATTAAATAATCATGATCGTAAATCATTTTGTTCATTAATTATTGCAAATTGGTTGCTATAGATTTTAAACGATTTCATTGCTTGCACTTGGTTATAATTGTTCTCAATTGGCCTATCATTGCTGCTACTGCCAATTGTTGGGTACTCGGCCCTGCAGCTCTTTCGTGCCTTTTCAATATTTTTAAATTAATGGTTTTAAATTGAGCGATATGGTTGATGTACGGAGCTTCCTTTGCTATTTTTTTTATTAGTACACGATATAGCTGGCCATGCTATTTTACATAATACGAGTAGATTATTGAAAAAAGCAAATAAACCCCACCTGCGTAAAAATGCATACTTACAAACCGGCGATTTTAATTTTTTATTTTACAATTAAAACGAAGCTTCCAACACCTCAAAAATCTAAACCTATCAAGCCGTGTAGGCTACAGAGCCTGTTCAAGACATATACATACACACACACTCAAAAAAACATAACCGTCCTCCTGGCGCAGTCCTGAAAATCCCAATAAGTATATGTATGTCAGTTGGGTCGGGAATTGATAAGAGTTTTGTATGACTATGAAATCCCAAAAAAAAGAATGTCAGACTTTACAAAATAAGATATTTTTAATGAGTTGTATGTTTTTTAAAGAACTCCGCTATTTATGATCCGATTTGGAGAATTCTTTATTTAATGGGAGGGTATTCTTTCCGTTAGGTTTCATTCAAATTTAAAGCAAAAATATTAATTGTTTGCAATTCATTATGTAAGCGCAATTCACATCACATCAACAGCCTTTACTAGTCTACTGCTGGACATAGGCCTCTCCTTAGAAAGGAGGTTTTGGCCTACTATACCACGCTGGCCAGACGGGTTGGTATAGGGTTTGTTTCAAGTTTTCCTTCTCTCTGCAGTGCTGTTGTCCTGTAGTTTGCTCCCTTAGTCGGCTCTTACGACACCCACGGGACGAACA